TATTCCTTTCTTTATCAGCTGCAATCTCACAGAAGTAGTGGGAGATCTCTCATTTTCATTCACTAGCTCGGCTATGAAACCAAAGGTAAACCTTGACAGCAGGATTTCTAAAGAGATAACTCTTTGTTTATGTTAGAAAGTTAGCTGCTCCAAACCTCATGGCGTCTGTGTTCTCGTTAGACCTGTGCACCTTTAGGTTGCTGTCTGTAAAAATAAACAGGATTCAGATTGGACTGGACCATTTGTGAAATATCCAAATCTGTGTTGGGGTTGTGCTGAATTCCAGGAAAGGACTCTTCATGTTTGCAGTGATTAAAATCTCCCAGGATATAAACTGTGGCTCCCATAGTGGGCTGTTATGATTGTGGACACAGTCAGCAATTTGAGCTGCTGCCTCCCTGATGGGGGCACATACACAGCACAGATAACAATGCCTCCAAACTCCCTCGGGAGATGAACAGGGTCTTAAAGAGAGGCAAAGTAGTTGAATGTCGGGGTGGCCCACAGATTGTCTTACAGTAAAGCTCCTGCACCAGTCATTACTCATATACATTGACTCGTCCCTGAAGTCTCATTCCTGTCTTTGTGGGTAAGAGAAAAACTACCCAGCATAATCAGGGAGTTGGAAACATCTGCATGGAGGCAGGTTTCTGTAAACAACAGCAGACCTGCCTTGAGGTACTCATAACATGCCCTCATATAGGTGTGAAACTTGTTTTTTCTTCTTCAACAGAGGTCTGTTACCTCTGCGTACCAAGGAGACGTTGGTCGATCCCATCTTGTGAGTCATTAGTATTCTTATTACCATCTGAAAGTCGCCATCATAGAGCCATCCAACACCATACGTTGTTGTCTCGCAACCGTTTTTGAGCCACGGCATTAATTTTCCGTTAGAGAAATTCTACAGCTCAGCACCAAACAAAAATGTCACAAAAGGTATATGTAATGAAGTACAATGATCTTCTGGTTTCTATTGACTCACAATTAATCTACTTAGTGTGAAACATGGACCTGTTTAGTTGACAACCTTGCTTATATACTCACAGGAATTGAAGAAAGACAAACGAAGAAGAAGAATATTTTGTCAGGAATTTCTATTACTATGGCATTGACATCCTAACAAAAAATATATGCAGTAACAAATAACAGTTTTCAGACCAATTAAGTGAAACTGCATAATAGTCTACATCTACAGTACCCCCGTATATAACACAAATACTAATTTGCTATGGCACAATGGTTGGGAACCACTGCCCTTCATCATACTGGTGAACTGTAAGGTTGGTAAATTGAATCGCACGAGAATAAAAGAGAATGGTAAATGAAGTTTAGGGATGATGATTATGAGTGTGAGTGCCTGTGATTGACCGTGCCCAAGAGGAACCCTTTGATTCTGATGGAACACATTTTTAATTGGTGTTGTCGTTAAATTCAACAGCTCTGCTGCTGAAGCACAGCAGCACTTGTTAAGAGATGATAAAGATGTAGGTTTGCTGTAATCTTTGGCAATTATCGTGTCAATAATCTGACAAACATGTACACAGCAATTAATGCAATTATCCTGATTGAGTCTGCTTTGACTACATAATTATTAGTGTCAGAAAGACCGGTATCTTCTTTTTAAAAGCACCACAGCTCAGGTAGAAATAACGAAATCTGAAAGGAATTTCACACAATAAACAAATAGCAAAGTAATATTAAACACTTTCTTATCTGGTTTATGGAATCAGGAAATTGTTAGACAAATATCAGTTATCCTTTCTTGACATCAAATGTAGCTCATGACATGACAGGGACAGAAAGATGGAAAGTATTCTCTTAAAATCCTCCCACTTCCTGTATGGGATTTCAACTCTAAATGACACAAGGATTTTATTTGACATTTATTTTCATCTGAACAGGATCAGAACTCAGGACGTGGCGATGTCGACTAGGGTAATTTGGAGTGGCATGCAAGCCTCTGCATGAAGAATTGTTTGGATGACTTTGGATGTTTCCAGGCAAAGGCAGGATGGAGTCAAACACTGAGTTAGTTCAAGTGGAACTTCTGTTGGAGTGGCTGGATGCATGAGTGGGTAGACTGACAAGTGAACAGAGACAGTAACTCTGGCACTGACTACAGAACAGTGTTAGTGTGAATTTGAGGAAAGCTGGCACTGGTGTAGATATTAAATTACTCTGGCAGTCAGTCAATCCTGATCACATGCTGACTGACTGCTCACTCCCAGTACAGCTGAAACTCTGCCAAACCCTAAAATTAGACTCAGGTCTAACATAGAAAAATGATTCAACTGCTGCTGTGGTTTTTAGGACTGTTTTATGTAGCAGTGAAGACATGTCAACCCTCTCTATGAAAGACAAAAATGGTCATAGCCTTTGTCCTCACCTCTTTAGCAAAGAAGCTCATCTTTGACCCTGACGTTCAGACTCTGTGATACTTTGTAATAAGTGTGTCGTTTGTTGTGTGCACTGCAACCTCATCACCACTGATTTGCCAAAATGTTAATTAAAACAAAAGAAAAAAACATTCCATTTCCTCCAAAGGTTAATGTGTGAGGAGTATCCGTTTCCCTTATTGAAAAATCGGAAATGCAGTCCAACATGTGGATACAAAATATAGATCCAAAAGAAGTAAATACATTATTTTACTTCCAGCATAACCACAGACTGTTTAGTCCAAAAGAAAATAATATATTATTATAATGGGGCTTCAAGATACGAGCTACCCAAAATACCTGTTTTTATGAATAAGCAACTATTGCAATATTTTACTCGTGATACAAGGAAACACAGAGTTACGAATGTACGAGCTACCTCCATTTTTCCACTCGACACCCCCTCCCCCCCCCCCCCCCCCCCCCCCTCTCTCTCTCTTTAGTTACTTAGCCTTTTGGGGAATTGAACCTCTCACCTTGTCAGTTACTCCCACCTCCCTGCCCATTAACATCTGGCTCCAGCTGAAGCAGAAGGACTGAAAGTGTTGGGAATAGTCACAAAGGCCAAGCACAGTAATAAAGACAGAACTGCGGACTAATCCGTAATGACTGGTGGTTAACAAGTCCCTGCTCTCTGCTCTCTGAGCCACAGCTCTTTCCTAACTTGCCTTCTGTGACGCACCACAGACAATGAGTCGTCAAGCAGAATATTAACGACGGAGCGCTGTGGTAATGAAGACAGAGTCCGCTGCTGATAAAAACTGAACATCGCCACGGAATTTAGCAGGAGGAGCAAGGTGCTGTTAAAACGGAGGTACGGGCTTCAATAAAGAGCTCCTATAGAAACGCACCAATCAATTACAGCAGCAGCCCTAATGAGACAGACAGACAGGCACACAGAGGCCGCATTAAAACGTAACACAGGAGCTGCACAATTCTTTTATTGCAGTGCAGCAAATGCTGAAGGTGAGTGTAATGAGTGTAAAATGCACCTGAAGCAGAATAAATGTAAAGGGCAAAAGGGTGACAGGGAAAAGAAGGGAGATGTATTTACTTTACGTTTTATACATTACTTATGTTCTCCCTTGTCTCTATTTGCTGCCTGAATGCCATGTAATTCAACAGGTAAACTACTGTGGATTTACGGGTCAGTAACAAGAAGGTAAATCGCATGGTAGCTGCAGAATAACCCAGAATAATCATGATCGGAACAGAACATGACTATTCATGACTAAACTAGATAAGTCAGGATCATTCTAAATTTGACGATAAAAGTATTTTCTGTATATTTCCTGAACAGAAAGATAGGTTTGAGCAGCATTAAACACCTTTTTGTATTTGTGGCTAATCCAAATCAGAGAGGCAGGTTTGATGCATCTAAACTAAAATTTAATGACGACTTCTGATTTTTATAGTTTTATCTGACAAAGTGGAAGTCGAGTCGACGAGTAATTTATGGCATCAACACAATGATAGAGTAGGAACAACACCGACACACACGTCCAGCAGTAAGCATGTAAATGACCCAATTAATGAAGCGCTTATGACCAATGGTTAGGTCGATGACAAAGTACCAGTGCTTTCTATTGATGCCCTAGCAAACACACAAACACATACTCAACGTGCGTATAAACTGTTGGACAATGGACACTTCTATCTCAGATGTAATTGACAGTTAATGGTAAAAATGAGCAATCCTGAAATACTGCAGCAGTAGGTAATACACAGGGGCCTAAATCCGTACCTTTGAACGAGATACTTTGTGACTTCCGTGTTGAAATAACAAATTTATTAAATGTATTAAAAGTAAAGTGTTTCCTGTTAGACAACAACAAAGGGGCAACAGCTACATGAACGGAGCAAAGGGATATTCAAATATTGATGTGATTGATTGCCATCATTTGATGAGATCAGACCGTTAAGCCTCCAGCTTTCATTGTTAAAAGGACACAAACTAAGCTCCTCACTCACTCAACACATAAAAACTAACACACATTTAATACTGGTATTTACTGCTCCCCTGGCTGCTCTACCAGGTAGTAGTAAACACCTGTTTATGTGCCAGAGCAGCAGAAGAGCAGAGGTATTACTGCGTGTGTAGACCCTCCTTCCCCCGACGTTGGAGCCATACAGTTTTTGCAACGCTGAGGTATTAAAGACCCCTGCCCCACAGAGACAACTACGTCAAACCCAGGGGTCAACACACACAAGAAAATACAAAAGACAAAAGATCTCAACACAACTGTACATCTCAACACAATTTATTTATTTTCCATTTCTTCAAAACTTGCAGTTGACCCCCTAAGATACAACCTTCCCAGAATACAGGTATTCCATGTGCTTGCAAGTCTGTAAGTGTTGCTTAATTTTTAATTGTGTTTTAGTTAATTGTTAATTGTTTTTTAAGTTATTTTTAATGGGAAAAATTTGATCTAAATACGAGTGGATCGAGACACAAGTGCTGTTGTGGAACAGATTAAACTCATATCTCAGGGATCCACTGTAATTAATACACAATATAAAACATTAAGTGTCAATAATAACTGGCCTCTTTACTGTCTTTAGGAAATGCCTTTGTGGTGAGTCTGGCCCTCGCTGACCTCGTGGTGGCCATCTATCCCTACCCTTTGGTCTTGACTGCCATCTTCCACGACGGCTGGATCGCCGGGTACATGCACTGTCAGATCAGCGGCTTCCTCATGGGCCTCAGCGTCATCGGCTCGATCTTCAACATCACAGGCATCGCCATCAACCGCTACTGCTACATCTGCCACAGCCCCAAGGACGACAAGCTCTTCTCC